GATTGTCTAACTACATTTCCTCTAGGTGGTTTCGACACGATGCCGAGTCTGGACCCCTTTGCGTTTGAGGCACTATTTGTAAAAAGGGTCCAGATACCTGAGATAGTCCCCGAGGTTAACAATAATTCCCTTTCGACTTCGGGTATTAAGGTCGGTAGTCGGCCACGAATTCTGCCAAAATTTAAGATTTAATGGCAGTTCGGGGTCGATACTCGATATCGTACCCACTGATTTTGATGACCCATTTGGCTAACCGGCCCAAGATCTCGGGTTTGTGCATGATGTTCCATAGTAGGTAAAAGGTTACGGCATATATGGGGTGGCATGGAAAGTATGGTTTTAACTTTCTGGAGGCACTTAGCAAAGCGAGCGCCAATTTTTCTAGGTGAGAATACCTTTTTTCGGACCCGCCTAGAGTTCTACTGACATAGTAAATAGGAAATTGTGTACCTTTCTCCTCCCGGACTAGGACTCCACTTACAGCCACATCGGATACCGCCAAGTAAAGGTAAAGTTGCTCGTTCACCTTCGGAGTATGGAGCAGGGGCGGACTCGAGAGGTACCGTTTGAGTTCTTCCAAGGTTCGTTGGCATTCCGTGGTCCAGGAAAAGTTATTCTTCTTTTTCAACAACGAGAAGAACCGGTGGCTTCTATCCGAGGACCTCGATATGAACCGGCCCAAGGCAGCTATACGCCCGTTCAACCTTTGAATGACCTTAACGTGATGTCTTCTATGGCTTTAATTTTGTCGGGATTGATCTCGACCCCTCCATTGGATACCATGAGCCCGAGAACTTTCCCGATCCGACCTCGAATACGCGTTTCTCCGGGTTCAGCTTCATATTGTATTTCTTAAATATATCGAAGGTTTCCTGCAAATATTTCAAATGGTCCTCTGCTCACAGGGACTTAACTAACTTTTCGTCAATGTAAACTTCCATAGATTTTCCAATATGTTCTCCGAACATCCAGTTTACTAGGCTTTGGTAGGTGGCACATATGTTCTTTAACCCGAATTGCATTACATTATAGTAGTAGGTACCAAATTTAGTGATAAAGGAAGTCTTTTCTTGGTCTCCCGGGTCTATCCGAATTTAGTTGTACTCGGAATAGGCATCGAGAAAGCTGAGTATCTCGTGCCTGGCCATCGCATCGATCATCCGATCAATGTTAGGCAAAGGAAAAGAATCCTTAAGGCATGTATTGTACAAGTCATTGTAATCTACACATATTCTTAGCTTGTTCCCTTTTTTAGGTACTACCACTAAGTTAGCTAACCAGTCCGGGCACTTAACTTCCCAAATGGACCCTATTTTAAGGAGTTTAGATATCTTGTCCTTGATGAATGCATGCTTGACCTCAGACTGATGTCTCCTCTTCTGTCTAACCGGGTGGAACATTGGGTCCAAACTCAGCTTGTTATTGGTTATCTCTGGCGGAATCCTTGTCATGTCAAGATGGGACCAAGCGAAACAAGCTATGTTAGCTTTAAGAAAATTAATGAGTTCTTTCCTAAGCTCGAGGGTTAACCCTGTGTCCAGGTATACCTTTCGATCCGGCATGTGTTCGATCAATACGAGTTGCTCAAGTTCTTCAACTGTTGATTTAGTGGCGTCAGTATTGTCAGGTGCTATGAATGACCTTGGAATCACGTAATCGTCCTATTCGTTAGCTCCTTGTTCTTTCGGTACGACCAGGACTGGCATCGGTGATCGCTATTTGACTTCGAACTTTCGGGTCGACTCCATACTCATTGATGTCGAAACGGCGGATACTAGGAGCACATCATCGACTACGAACATTTCTTTTGTAGCCAGCAAATCTTCGTATACTGTCTTGATTCCACCCGATGTAGGGAACTTCAATTCCTGGCGCAAGTTCGAAGGTATCGCCCTCATGTTGTGAACCCATGGTCTTCCGAATAGAGCGTTATATCTCATATCCCTTTCGATTACATAGAACTTTGTTTCCTGGATGATCCTGGTGGTGTTCACGGGTAAGGTTATCTCCCCTTTAGTGGTTTCACATGCCATGTTAAATTCGTTTGACACCCGTACTGCTAGCACTATTTGGTTTTGTAACCTCAACTGCTCTACGACTTTCGATCTGATGATGTTGGTCGAGCTACCTGGATCAATCAACACATGCTTAACTCGAGATTTATTGATAAGTACAGAGATTACCAGTGCATCATTATGAGGTTATACGACGCCTTCGACATCCTCATTATTGAACGAAATGGTTCCCTCCGTGATATAATCTCGGGTGCACTTCTCCCTCGTGATAGACACTTTAGTGCATTTTATCATCGGCCCTTGAGAGATATCAATCCTTCCAATGATCATGTTGATGACGTGTTGAGGTTCCTCTTATTCAGTCTGTTTGTTGACATCCCTATTTCTTAAGTGGTTTTTGGCTCGATCACTTAGAAATTCTCATAGGTGCCCGTTATTAAACAATCTAGCAACTTTTTCTCTCAGTTGTCGGCAGTCTTTGTTCCTACGGCCATGAGTGCCATGATACTTACATATCATGTTAGGATCTCTCTGGGTAGAGTCAGACTGATGTGGTCGAGGCAACTTGGTCTCCTTGATGCGCTCAATGGCTGATACAATACTGGTTGTATCAACGTTGAAGTTATACTCTGACAACCTTGGAGCCTCCCTTCCCCCGAGCAGCCTGTCAAACCCATTTTTGCTCATCAGGCCTCGGTTATTGTTCCCTCAATCACTCCTCTTTTTGTTCATTGTAGAGTTATGCCAGGACCATTTCCCCTTCGATCTATATTGTATGGTTGGTACGATCTCGTACTGGCCCTGATTCATGATTGACGACTCTCTTAGGCCTGTCGTCAGTTCTGATGGGATAAACGGACCCAGAGGGGGCTCCGTGTTGGTCATCCTTGATTCTGACTTTTGATTGGTACCTGCTGTAGATGTCGGTCCAAGTCACCGCCGGGTACTCCACCAGACTTTATTTAAGCTGTTGCGAAGCCAAGGAGCTTCGAGGGTTAAGCCCTTGAGTGAATGCTTGAACAGCCCAATCATCGGCAACCGACTCCAATCGTTCTATTTGAAACATCAACATGAATTCCCTGAGCATTTCGTTATCTCTTTGTTTAACTTTGAAAAGATGTGATTTTCTGGTCTCGACCTTGATGGCTTCAGCATGAGCCTTCACAAAATCATATACAAGCATAACAAACGAAGCAATAAAATTTGAGGGTAAGTTGTGATACCATATCATTGCTCCTTTTAACAGAGTTTCCCCGAACTTCTTTAACAATATCGACTCGATTTCATCATCTTCCAAGTCGCGCATTTCCCTTGACAGCGCATGTGTAGGAGGTCACTTGCTCGTTGGGATCTGTGGTTCTATTGTATTTTGGAATGTCGGGCATACAATTCTCTTCGGTATCGGCTTCGGTGCAGCGCTCGGAGGAAGAGGCTTTTGGATAAACTTCTTAGAATCTGGTCCCTTTAAAATCGGGAGCACGCCCGGGATTTGATCTACCCTGGAATTATAGGTCTCCACCTTTTTGTCGTTGGCCTCAATCTTCTTCTCCCCCGATTCCACCCACTTTGTTAATATTTCAAGTATTTTCATTATTTCGGGGTTGGTCCTAGGCTCAGCTTCAGCCACCCTCCCGGTATTTTGCTCATTTCTTCGAGTACTCTCCCGGGCCGTTCGGGATCGACCCTACCATGAGTGTGGCCTTGATTTTGTAGCTGCACTATCGCCGCTTGTTGAGCCTACAACATTTCGAAGATTAGCCGCATGCTTATCCCATCACCTTCGCCTTCGGGTGCTTCTCGAACCGTTGTTCGTGGGCCTCCGCGAACGTTGTTCTCGGGGTCGGTTGGCAGGTGAGCATCGATAGCAACCTATGAATTGGTGTCGATTGGATCTACAATTGGGACTCGTTGGGATCAATAGGGGTACCTCATTGCTAGGTACTAAGTTTTTGTTTTGCCATGATGGCCAGATTCAACCTCAACGTTCAAGTGAGCAAACTGAGAGTTTGACATTTTTAAGCAAACCTGAAATTGAAAACTTAAAGAACAAGCGTAAAATAGAGTGCATTATGGGAATTTGTATCAAATTACCACTATTATCCTTAGCCCTACGGTGGGCGCCAAACTGTTTACCCTTAAAAATGGATAACAATTGAATTTATACGCGGTTCTAAAAATATGTGGATTGGTTCAATATAAATGAATTAGAGATAAAATAAATAACCAAACCAGTTGTGATGTTGAGTTCGGGCTCGGATTCTAAGCTTAACAATTGTTCTGCCCTCGATTCGGAAACAAACGTGTATGAAGAGCTACAATTAAAATAAGAACTTTTTAATAACTAAGAAGCAGAGAAAACAAGTTTGTATTGCCTTAATATGCGTGTTACACAGTGTCTATTGAATAATATATTTCCCCTTTATATAGTAGAGGAGTTTTACCTCTAGTACAATTTAAAAAAAACGGTAAAAATCTTCCTTGTACATCAATTATTGATACGCTAATGATATAGGGCGAGATTCGCGCCGTAATATCCGGTTGGGTGCGGATATCATGGCCCCCTGTTAGTCGTGTATAATTGTTCGCAGTGCTTTCCGAGGTCTAGGAGCTCCTTCTGGAATCAGGGAAGCGTTGTCTTATCAAGCCCGGTGGCGCATACTCCGTTCGGGCCTTAATACGAGAAATACCCAGCTTCGATTTCGATTTCATGTAGTTATGTCCTTGCTTCGTTTGACTAACCGAGAAATCGGGATGCTCATTAGCCCCGGTTTTACCCGTATACAAAGTGGTTGTCACACACCAATCCTTACTTGTCACGTGTCAAGTTCAATTAAAAATAAATTTTTTTCATTTCTCCTTTTTATTACGTATTTATACACACTTTATGACAAGAATATCAACTCCAAATTGTTTGGAACCGTAAAACCACACATATGAACTAATTATAGAATGTAATGAATGCTATTTTCCACGGCAGAATCAAAATCACTTTACTGCCTCCATGTTGGATTTGGATGAAGTAGTCTGCAACACATCTCCAAAACCTCCATCTCTAACATACTGAATATACCTTGAGAATTCAGGCCTTGCAGTTGCCTTCTTCTTCTTCTTTGTTTCAAAAAGACTGAATATTGGATGAATCTTGCTCGCTTTTTTCGCTTCCTTTAACTGAGTAGTCGCTCGGAAATTCTCCTCGGACGTCACCTTCTTAGACGAAGAACTAAAGAACTTAGCAGCAGCTGGAACTGTTCCGTTTCTGCTCAACTTTGGTTTACCCAATATTGGAGCAGAAGGCTCCTCTTCCTTAATTAATTCTTCATATCCTCTGTAGTCTCTTCGTGTACTCATTGCTCTAAACATGGCTTTAATTTTTACAAGTTACGAAAAATAATACAGCTCCCAAATTTCTTGAACTGTAGGCTTAAAATGAAGGAAGAGAGCTAGTACAAAAGATTTTGAGATGAAGAAAAGTAGAAAACAAGGATATGTTATATAGTTAGGCTGGGCTAGCTAAGGGATTTATGTAATTTCTATTGGTTGAGGTATTTTAAAGCAGCTGTACGTAGCCTCATTTTTTCAAAAATTGCGTGCTCCACGTGGTTGTAAGGCGTTGAAAATCTATTGTTGAAGAAAGCTGGAACTTTCCTTGTTTTGACTTCTCGTGCTAAAGTAATCCAAGTAATTAATATAATGGAACTCTGACCATATATGGTCAAAAAACAACAATGATAATTATGCAAGTGTGACCATAGGGCTTGCATATTCCAACAAGGCATACCATGGAATATTAGATGTTAAAGACAATATTTTTATTTTATTTTCTATATTTTTCTTTTGTTGAAAAGAAATCAATTTGGATAAACTATTTGATTACTTAACACCAACGTGCATGCTTGAACGAGTACTCTCCCCTTTAGAGAAAACAAAACATATTGATAGAAAGTTCGTTAGCTTACGTTTTTTTTAGAAATTACCGTCTCTTCTAGAGTCTTCTAGTGTGACCCACATATAAGGTAATAAATTATTTACCTTATTCTCCAAAGGAAATAATATATCAGATAATATTCTATAATTATGCATATATAGTAGTTTCTTTAATGGAAAGAAATTACATATATTATGAGTCCCTAGGGTAATTATAATTTATGGAGAAGTCCTTAGGGCTAAAGTATTTGCCTAAGAGTCCCTAACCTATCTATAAATACGCTTGTGACTCCATCAGTCTGGCATCCTACGATAGACACAGGCTAGAAGGCTCTCTAGGTTTTCTGCTAAAAGTTTAAAAAGGCGATTCCCTACAACGCTTGAACAACAATGTTCATTTCCGTTGCGTTGGCTCTGTGTATGTGTTTATATTTCAACATGTGGTATCAGAGCCTACCTTTGGTCGTTTGGTCGTGTTGTTCGGTATCGAGATTGTGTTCATAACTATGCAAATCTCGTTTTGCTCAAATCTGTGTGTTTAGTTTTATATATATAATACAATCCGTCTTTGATTTGTCGACAATGGAGTTATATTTTGTTAGATGGAATTGGTTCTAACTTTTAAATTGTGTCTCAACTGCTCGAACTATTTTAATCCACATGAGTGAATGAGTTGACTCTCGTGTGATTTGTCGAACTTATGATTTTATCCTTAGTTTAAAAGGAGAGCTTGCTTTAATTCATAATAGCTATTATGTAGTCTTGCTCTTTAAAACTTTGATGTAGAATGATTAAAGACATTAAAAATTTCAGATTCTTTAAGCTTGTCCACTTGTTGATTGTTTAAATACTCCCTGATAGCATATGCATTGACAAAGTATTGATCACGATTTGTTTGCTTTTAATTATCACGTTTTTGTCTTATATTACTAAGACATAGTGCAAATATAGTCTGCCTTGTATCTACTCATTATGTGTTTCAATGTTTCGTAATGAATTTGGAAGGGTTCGTATATTATCTTTTCAAAAGTTAAACTTTATTTTCTGGTACAAGTATTTAGTTGTTGCCTTTTAAAACAAGGAATTTTGAAGTGTTCTTGAAGCACTGATCAATTCAAAGTACTAATAATCTGGAGGAATTGCCTAGTGAGACTTTGACAAACACTTTGGTCTTCAGTTATGTAATATAACATATGTGTTCGTTGAAATCTTTGGAAGTTCTTATAATATTTAGTTTAATTATAAGAATTATTTGAGGATATATAGGCATCCTACCTATACTTTGTATCTCCACTTTGAAACAAATCAATATTCTAGTGAAAGTTAATTATAAAGGCTTATTATTGTAAGATGTCAATTTTGAAATTTTCTTTTGTATTATGTATTTAGGAGTAGCCACAACATCTTGAGTAATTGATATAAAAGAAACTAAGTTGTTTAATTACATAAAGTTTTGTGATTAGAATTAATATTATAATAACATCTATTTTGTCCGATTATCTTATTAAAATGGAAAACCCGGCCATACAGGGAGGTAACTATTTTGGTGAGACTAATTGGAATGAAATAGTAAACTTTTGAGTTGGAAATTATCTTATGTCCACAGGTACAGATTAATTTCTATGTGTTTTGGTTTACTAGTCTAATAAAGTAAAGTAAATTCTATGCATGGGTTGCAACCACTGCCCACAGAAAGGTCTAGAATTTACTAAGAATCGGTATTTTACGCGATTCACCTTGATGGATTGTACTTCATAGCTTATGTATGTTTATCCTTGTTTTGCAGTCTTTACCGCTTTTCCTATCGCTATTTTTAATGAGAATGCTCGAATTCCAATGCTTTCTGGTGACAATTATGCTAAATGGAAGGAGAAAGTCCTTCTCACTTTAGGGTGCTCGGATTTGGAGTTGGCACTCCGTGTGGATGAACCACCTATTCCCATGGAATCAAGTACGCTAGCTGCTAAGGCTAATTATGAGCGGTGGAAGCGATCTAATCGTTTAAGTTTAATGCTCATAAAATCCCACATAAGCCAAAGCAATAGGGGTTCTATCCCTAATAGCGATAAAGTCAAAGCTTACATGAAGGCAATTGATGAAAAATTCGTAAGCTCTGACAAGGCATTGGCCAGCACCCTTATGAAGAGGCTCTCAAGTATGACTTTTGACAGAAGTCGTACAGTGCGTAAGCACATTATGGAGATGAGAGACATTGCTGCTAAACTCAAGTCCCTTGAGGTTGATATGTCTGAACCATTTCTTGTGCATTTCATGCTCAACTCACTTCCTGCGGAATATAGTCCGTTCAAGATTTTTTACAACACACATAAGGATAAATGGTCAATCAATAAACTTTTGACCATGTGTGTTCAAGAAGAAGAGAGGTTGAAACATAGGACACCTGAAAGTGTTAATATGGTGATTTATGGTAAGAGAAATGCAAAGAAGGGCAAAAGTGTTCCCATGAAGAAGAAAAACACCTTTGACAAAGATGCTTGTTGTTTCTGTAAGAAGAAGGGACACTGGAAGAAGGATTGCCTGAAATACAAGAAATGGCTTGAGAAGAAAGGTAATTTTACCTTTGTATGTTATGAATCTAATTTTACCAAAGTTTCTTATAATACATGGTGGATTGATTCTGGTGCTACAATTCACATTGCCAAAATCATGCAGGGCTTTCTAACTCAGAGGAAGCCGATAGGAAGTGAACAATACGTCTATTCTGTCAATAGGACGCGTTCACGTGTGGAAGGAGTGGGGATTTATAGGCTCATTTTGAAGGATGGTTTTCACTTAGATTTAGAAAATACTTTTTATGTTCCAAAATATTCTAGAAATTTAATTTCTCTTTCAAGACTATCGATTAATGGATATGATTTGAATTTTCATTATCCTTCTGTGAAACTTTTGAAAGATAATAAAGTTATTGGTTTTGGAAATTTGAATGGGAATTTATATAAACTTGAGCTAGACCCCACATTTGAATGCAGTGTTTTAACTTTGCCTGATAAAGAAATTGGCACTAAGCGATGTATTATCAATGAGAACTCATCTAGTCTTTGGCACAAGAGATTGAGACACATCTCTATTGATAAAGTCAAAAGGTTGGTTAATGATGGAGTTCTAAAAGCTCTTGATTTTTCTAACTTTGGAACTTGTGTGAACTGCATAAAGGGTAAGCATACCAACAAATCAACTAAATGTGCCAAAAAGAGTTCTCAATTACTTGAGATGATACATATAAACATATGTGGACCTTTTCCTACCTCTTGTTTGAATGATGAGAGATATTTTATCTCGTTTATTGATGACCATTCAAGATATATGTATCTCTATTTTCTGTTTAACAAATCAGAAGCACTTGATGCTTTTAAAGTTTACAAAACAGAAGTAGAGAAACAAACTGGTGCTCAGATCAAAATTGTAAGATCTGATAAGGGTGGAAAATATTATGGTAGGTACACAGATAAGGGACAAGTTAAGGGTCCATTTGCTGAGTTCCTTGAAAGTGAAGGTATAATTGCTCAATATACCATACCAGGAACACCACAACAAAATGGTGTCGTAGAAAGAAGGAACCGGGCATTAATGGACATGGTAAGAAGCATGATTAGCAGATCAAGTTTACCTTTATCCTTATGGAGTGAAGCCTTAAAAACCTCTGTGTATATTTTAAATAGAGTTCCATCCAAGGCTGTCCCGAAGACACCTTTTGCGTTATGGAAAGGATGAAAACCTAGTTTAAACCATTACACGTTTGGGAATGTCCAACTGAAGTGAGGGTTTATAACCCACAACAAAAGAAGTTGGATGAAAGAACAATAAGCGGTTATTTTATAGGCTATATGGTTAACTCTAAGGGATTTAGGTTTTATTGTCTTTCTCATTCTCCTAAAATTGTTGAAGCTAGAAACGCTAAATTTCTTGAGGAGCATGAAGAAAGTGGGAGTGGTTTGACTCAAAGGGTGGAATTGGAAGAAATAAGGGAACCACCTGTGGTACCTTTATATATTGGGAACTTGAATGTTGCTCAAAATAATTCTCATGAATTATCTGAACAACAACAAGTTCAAGAGCCACCACCACTTGAGGAGCCACATGAAGATCAACCCGCTTTACCTGAACCTACTAAGAAGTGTCTGAACCAGTGGGAGTGAAATTTTTTTCAAGAATTCGAAAGTCAGCTATTTCTAGCGACTATGTTGTATATCTCCAAGAGTCTGATTATGATATTGGACTAAAAGATGATCCATGCTCGTTTTCATAAGCCATGAGTGGAGAAAACTCCACACTTTGGTATGATATCATGAAAGAAGAGTTAGAATCTATGGCTAAAAATAAAGTCTGGAATCTCGTTGAATTACCAAAAGAATCCTCTACCATAGGTTCCAAGTGGATCTTTAAAACTAAAAGAGACTCATCGGGCAATATTGAACGATATAAAGCCAGACTTGTAGCCAAGGGTTTTACTCAAAGGGAAGGCATTGGTTACCATGAAACCTTCTCTCCAGTATCAAAGAAGGATTCATTGAGAATAATCATGGTATTAGTAGCTCATTTTAATTTAGAGTTACAGTAAATGGATGTGAAAACAACTTTCCTAAATGGAGATCTTAAAGAGGAGGTATACATGCGTCAACCTAAAGGATTTTGTGATAAGGATAAAAGTCACCTTGTTTGCAAGTTGAATAAATCCATTTATGGGCTAAAGCAGGCTTCCCGCCAATGGCATATTAAATTTCATAATGTTGTTTCTTCATTTGGATTTACGGAGAACATCATTGATCAGTGTATATACCTTAAGATAAGTGGGAGCAAATATATTTTTCTAGTCCTATATGTGGATGATATTTTGCTTTCAAGTAGTGACTTGGGATTGCTGCACGAGACTAAACAGTTCCTTATCCAGAAATTTGAGATGAAGGATATGGGTGAAGCCTCTTATGTCTTTGGCATAGAGATTCACAGAGACAGATCCCAAAGATCACTTGGACTGTCTCAAAAGACCTACATTGAAAGAATTATGGAAAGATTCGGGATGAAGAACTGTTCACCTATAGCAGCACCCATAATTAAAGGTGACAAATTCTCATCGAATCAATGTCCACAAAATGCATTGGAAAAAGGATCAAATGAAAGACATCCCCTATGTTTCGCTTGTTGGGAGCCTTATGTATGCACAGGTCTGTACTAGACCTGATATTGCTTTTGCGGTAGGAATATTTGGCAGATATCAAATTAACCCTGGTCTTGACCATTAGAAAGCTGGTAAAAGGGTCTTGAGATATTTGCAAGGAATCAAGGATTTTAAGCTCACATGCAAATGCTCTGACTCATTGGAGGTGATTGGATATTCAGACTCTGATCTGGGTGGATGAAAGGACACTAGTAAATCTACTTCAGGATACATTTTCCTTCTTGCTGGAGGTGCTGTGTCTTGGAGATGTGTCAAGCAACCATTGTTGCAACATCCATAATGGAGGATGAATTTATAGCATGCTATGAAGCTACATCACATGCATTATGGTTGAAAAACTTTATTTCCGGCCTTAGGATTGTCGATTCTATTTCAAGGCGATTGAGAATTTTTTGTGACAATTCAGCTGCAGTTTTCTTTTCTAAGAATAATAAAAGTGGCAGCTGAAGCAAGCACATCGACATAAAGTACTTGATGGTTAACTATGTGAAGAAGCAAGATGTGAATTTTGAGCATGTTAGTACTACTTTGATGATTGATGATCCTATGACTAAAGGTCTGTCGACTAATATTTTCAAGGATCATGTAACCCATATGAGGCTTAGTAGCTCAACTTAGTCTTGCTTTACTCTCTAACAGTTTGTCTAGACATTATGACTATTTTGATATATATGACAGTGCACACTTTTGAATTTTCATATATTATTTGTGATCATTGGATCAATAAAGTTGGACTCTGAATGACTTATATTAAGTTCATTCATAAAGTTGTTAGACACTTTGTTAGAATATATTGTGCATTGTAATACATGGAAGGAAATGTTTGTTTAAAAGCATGACCGCCATGATTCGTGTAATAATATATTCTAGTTAAAGTGATTATTGCATAACTTTTAATTGAGTGATAAAGTTTATGGCCATATTATATGTTTATCTCTCATAAAGGATTATCTAATTTTAATATGTGGGCCAAGTGGGAGAATGTTAGAAATTACCGTCTCTTCTAGGTAATAAATTATTTACCTTGTCCTCCAAAGGAAATAATATATCAGATAATATTATGTAGTTATGCATATATGGTAGTTTCTTTGATGGAAAGAAATTACCATATATTATGAGTCCCTAGGGTAATTATAATTTATGGAAAAGTCCTTAGGGCTAAAGTATTTGCATAAGAGTCCTAGCCTACCTATAACACTACCAAAAAAATACTATTTTCCGTTCCGACTACAGTAATCGAAAAAGTATAATTTATTTTTTAAAAAATTTGTAGGCGACTGCCATTTCGGCGGTAGTAGTAGTAGTAAAATTTGGCGCCAAATACCGCGAATTAGTATTTCCGACTACTATAATCGGGACAAAGTCAATAAAAAAAGTTGACTGATCTTCCGACTACAGTAGTCGGAACTTCTAATAAATAGTTTTCAATTTTCCTGATATTTTAACTAAAAAATCGACTAAAGCTGCCGCCCACTGTAATAGAAAAAATAAAAAAAAAAAGAAATAATAGGTTTTATTTCGCTCATCTCCTCTCTCTCACAAGTCACAACCAAACTGCTCTCAACCATTCCACCACTCCTGCTGCCACCTTTACTCCTCTCCGGTAAGTTGATAATTAAGAACCAAATTTCTTTGCCAATATATATGTCGTGTGATTAACTTTTTCTTAGTATTAACTTGTAAAAGTCATCCCCTACTCATTCTTCCACCCCTACCCAAAGGTTCTTCTCCTTTCCCTATTCATACACCTGCTGCTAGGTATATATTCACATCTCCCCAAAACCCTAGCTTTTACACATTCCCCAATTTTTACTTGTGTTTGTGCTTTTTTTGAGCTTCTTATTTACTTTAGTACTTAATTTCGATTCGTTTCTAGGGTTCAAAATTTGAACAGTGATGTATGAAATTGTAATTCGTCTTGTTATTTATGAGAACTTCCAATATAGGAGTTATCCACGACTTTCATGTAAGATCTCATTGCTTTTCTTGAAGTAAAGTGATGCAATTTATGGTCCATTTGTGGTTATCTAAAATAATACTAATACAATTATTACTATGATTGGCCACAGAATACAACTCTGTAGCCTACTCCGAGGTTGAAGTTTTATTCAGAAAGCTATATATGCACCTGATGAGTGTCTGACCTTTTCATATTTTCCAGGATCTTAGAAAATGCTGAGAGATTTATAAAACTGTTACATCAATTGAAAAAAGAGTCAGAATAAATGCAGAAAGAGAATCCAAAGTGTATCTTAGATTTAGAACCTGTACAGATTTAGGCTGCGACGTTTCTGATAGAACACAACAAAGGCCTTTTTCAATTTCTCTTCAACCTCCTTTAGTTCTTCTTGACTGAAGCTACAGTTTTTCTCTGTGGTACCAAGTAATAGTCTTTCTACCGATGATTTTGGACCATCAGATGTATTTTGAATTTTGACACATTCAAGAACGTCTGAGGGAGTTCATCCATGTTCTTTTAATGACGGATCTTCATTATTGCTCGAAGAAGCTGGTTTTATGTTGTTCTCACAAGACATGTCCACTTCTTTTGTGAAGTCCAGTTGGTCTTTCTCTGCATTTAGACATCTAATGAGCGCAAAACTAATCTTATGAAGTAGAAGCTTGGAATTAGAATGTCCACAACTGTTTCGCTGCCACTACAAGAAGGAAGGCTTTTATCAGCAATATTTGTGTTGGCATATGCTGAATGTTGTCGCCAAAAATACTTCTAGAAATAGAGAGCAATACCATGTGTTTCTGATTCCAAACAATAATTTCAATCTCCATGTTCCATTTCCATAGCTGTTAGGGGCCTCCAATCCATGTGGATATGTCCTCCAACCCAATTCTTTTTAGGTATTTATTCGAAAGTTTTATGTTTTATGCACTAATTTTACTTTTTCTTGATTACCAACTCATATTCATTACTCCTATAAACTTTAGATTGTTTCTTTCAAATGATCGTAATTTTCCTTAAATTATTATACTAATATAATTATGTGATAAAGTTTTATATAAATATTTTGATATATATGTCATGTATTTACTGATTGATGCATACTTGAATTCTTTCCTAGTTGAAAACCTATGAGCTTTAGATTGTTTGAGCTCTGCATGTGATGAATCATTTATCCGCTGAATAATTGATCAGTAAGTAACAAATGAATAAAAAGAGTATCTCCTGCTGGCCATTCAGCTCCTTTAAACCGATATACTGGTACTAGGTAAAGAAGGGTGGATGTAGACATTGCGCTGGATTGTGATATTTGGTTAAAGAAGTGCCTATAATTCTGTGAAAGGATTGAAATTGCAATGTATCCTTACAGTCATGTGTTTCATCTTGCGTTGCGGTCCCATTATGGTGATTAATTGGTATAAACACTGGGCATGGGTAATCCTAGTATTTTGGAATACAGGAAAATGAATAACCAAGAGTAAATTTTAAGCAACTTTGAGCTACATTGTGTATTAAGAGTTTGTTTACTAAAAGTTATTCTTTTGAGTTACTTCACATATTATTACGATTACAAAAAGCTCAACTATATATTATCGCTATTTTTGAAAGCTCAGAGTGAGAATTTTTTGGAAGGGGTAAACTTATTAGGCAATGTGGAAAGTGAGGCAAGTTATGATTTTTGCTACCTGAAGTAACTTAGAATGGTTAATTAGGCAACTTAATGATTTTTTGCTACCTGAAGTAACCTAAAAATTTCTTATTTATACCTAGTCATGATTTGCATTATCTATAATTGCAATCTATATATCTAGTAACATACCCTTCCAATGGATCTAACATCTGTTACAAATCTTTTTATGCCTTTGGAAGCATTTACTTCCTTAACTTACCTAATACTGCCCTGCAATGTAAAATTGGACAGCTAATTGTTCATATTCCAGCAAATAAAGACTAAAGGCGAATTCTAAGTTCAAAGTGTTTAGCCTATGTTGCTCAATATGCATTACAATTATTAATCTCAAATTATGTGCATGTTTGTTCTTGAAAGACTATTTTAGGGATTGATCTGGTGTCTTTTAGCTCTGTTTTTGATGATTTAAGTCTATCTAAAAGAAAAACATGCCTATTTATGTTCTTGTAAGGCACTAGGCCTCTGTTGAAATTCATGAATGAGTGTATGTTTGTATGAATGTCCTCTACCAACTCTCTTGACATTTTAAGATGGCTTAGAATGACATTCCATAACCTGAAAACATTTTTGATATAGTAAACATGTTAACAATTTTTATTCTGTGACTTTCCCTTTGATCTTATTGGTTCTGGATTGACTTTGAAAAAACAAAAAAGCATATGGTTCTGTCCACTATCAATTCCTGCTTTATAACACAGCTCTCCACATCACTTCTTGGGCTCAGTAAGAATAATTCTGGATATAGTAACTTCTGTTTGAAAATGTTGATAAAACGAGGACTCGCGGGTTGAATAAGTATATCAGAGATTTGCAGGACAATTGAGCCAACAAGTTGAATTAACCTTATCCCAAAATCACGCAGTACTGCAATAAATTTGTACTTAGTAACAACCAACACCTATTACGTAATGTCTCAAAAAGAGAAGTGAGAAGAAATAGAGCAAACAAACCAACATTCTTGACGTATATATATACACACACTGTGACTAGAACATCATGATCCCCTCCAAATTCTATATATATACTTGTCCTTTAGTTGACTAGTCGCTCGGAAATTGTCCTCGGACGTCACCTTCTTGGATGAAGAGCTAAAGAATTTAGCGGCAGCTGGAACCGTACTCTGTTTCTGCTCAACTTTGGCTCCATTATTATCAATGGAGCACAAGGCGCTTCCGCCTTAATCAATTAAGAGTGTTATTTAAGTCGTATGTATTAGTTGATGTATTTTACACTTTAGTTAAAGAAGCTGCGGAAAGTTGGAAAACTTTCGAGTTTGACTTCTCCTGCCAAAATCAAAATCCTAATAATGGAGTACATCTGGTCAACAACAATAATAATGGAAGTTTGACTATGGAGCTTGAATATTCCACTAAGGCATGCTATAAAATATGAATTAGATGTTGAAGCCGCCACATTCATCTAGACCCAACGGCTATTAATGCATCGACCGGTCCATAATGACTACAATTTTTAACTTTTCTCTTTATTTCTTTCTGTTTGCTGAATACAAATCAATTTGCATTTATTAGTAAAGACCAACGTGTTTGAACTGATAGAACGTTCGTTAGCTTACAGCACATATATTAAAGTATTAGCAAACCAATACTTTAAGATTTATTTATTTTCGCTAATATATTTTAAGATGTTGAGTGTTGACGGAGGTAATTATCATCCGCTCCTTATTTCTTATTTTATACTTTTGGTTTGCTCCGGCAGTACCTTTCCAATCAAGAGTTCTTTCCATTTCGTACCCTTAATATATGCTTCTTCTTTTTTTGGTAATTTACATTGTGTTCTATTAATTTTAATAATTTTATATATACACTTTTATGTTGAATTATCCATGAGAGCAAAATAGAAAAAAAAAACACGAATAAGAAAATAAAAGATATGGTGCGTGCAAAATGGAAAAAGGTCAAGTAAAGTCAAATTAATGGTTAACAAGAGAGTAAAGATCGTCATTAGATTCCTTCCTCAGTTCGTCCCGCTAAAAACAGCTAGTGCTTTGAGAAGACGGAGCCCTGCTCTGGTATGAGTGGAGAAATATATGGTCATATGAAATAAAATGGAAAAATTGTACACTAATTACTGTTATGATTGTGTCAAAAATGTAACAAGATTATTACTAGTGTTCAAAGGAAGTATTATTATGTTTCAGTAAAGCTTGTCCGCAATTGTCAATCCCAAGCTATTTAAATTTTGGAGATGGCGATATTAATTCTCGTGATCTATTTCGCACCATGCATGTGAGTTGAAAGGTCGATGAACTCAATCAATTCATTAATTTTTAATCCGCTAATTTGTTGACTATTTTGAGAATTTGGTAAAACAAAGGTGGACACGCTAACCAAATTTTTCATAATCACTCAATTTCCAAAGACTACTCCAAAATCCAAAAGGTACTGGCATATGGATCAGTAAGAATGTTTGTTCAGTACAGTATATTGGGAAAATAAATATTGCACTTGGAATTAGTTATGCGGTTGACATGGCAAGACACGTGGATCATTAGAGAAGTGGCAGCTGAAAAAGAGCACTTAAAGAGATGCGAGTCTTAATAGGTACGAGCAAAACGTACAAGAGATAAGAAGAAACAGTTGCTCGGGTCTCTTGATAATTTGAAGAGACACCGGTGGAATGAATCAAGACAACAAAAAGTACAGATTCGTTAATCTTCAATTAATGAGCATGAATAATTAGAAACGTTACAAAATCTTCATGAAACAGTTATGATTGTCAATTATAACGTTTCATTAATGTCATTAAATGCTCATAATGACTCGATTACTGATGTTTTGCTTAAAGTATATATATTTGTATGTATATCGCCTCATATCTTACTTTTGTTTCATGAATTTAGGATGTGAAATGTATTGATTTATATTAATTTGATGTGTTTTTATGTGTAGGAATGATCCGGGAGAAATCGGGGGCGATATGTGCGAAATTAGAGCCAAAACGGACAAAAACAGGAAAGTTGGACATTTCAGCGCCACAGGTAGCCACAGGTGGCGCCTAGCGCTACCTGTGGCGGCAAAAACAGAATGTAAAATTTTACAGCGCCGTGGAGCCAGTGACGCCAATTTTCTCCAAATTTGCCCGGGAGACAGTTATTTCGGCCCTAAACCTACCCAACACATATAAAAGTAAGACTAAACTTATTTGTCAAGGGGAAGACGCCACTTTGGAGAGATCTAACATACTTGGAAGGGGAATTCACGTAGAGGAACACACACCACGCTTGGAGGAGGCTTCTAGCTAGTTTTTCTTCTCTTCTCTTCCTTTAATTTCATAGTTTATTAGTTCTAGAGTTGTTGGGTGCTATATGAACGTTGTAGTTTGAAGCTTGGATTGTTCTTCTTATTTTATCATATTGGTTTATTTATTTAATCTTGCGCTTAATTATTTGATTGCTTGATCACCAATTGAATACTATCTACGAATCTAGGATTGAACTCGGGAGAGGGAATTCTAGATTACATATAAGATTGAGTAGAGCAAGATCTTAACTCTGAGGGGGGCGGATTTGCGGTTAGGATAGGAATATACCTTATCGCCTTGCTTGGTTACTATATGGGAATTATTAATACGTTCTTGTTAATTCTAATTCCATAGGAATATAGGCTTTAGATTAGCTTGAATATGTGAGTTGTACTTCGGGAGAAGGCTACGAGCAATATTAACCCCGTCAATCAATAAACTAGATAAATTAATTAGACGATTTAAGTGAAAAACTCAACGGGATTGTTAGCTAACCCATAACTCTAGAATATTCACTCACATTGAATTCGTCTCTATAATTTGCCACTTATTTTCTTTAATCTCTTAATTTGTTACTCTGAATTGAATTTTAGTAAAATATTCATACTTTAAGATTCACTTGAATAGATTAATTGTTTAGTTTAATTTAGTTGATAGTTAATCATAAGTCCTTGTGGTACGATATCTGGACTTACAATCCTATATTACTTGTCGACCACGTATACTTGCGTGTGCGTTTGGGAGCAACAAGTACGAGAATGAAGAGACGTTGTACTTAGAAATAGCTATAAAAGGAAGAGAAATGACATTTGTGTGGATACGTTATTACTGGAATATACTTATTTACTTTGCTTTATATTGATTGCTTCGCTATTTCTTATTCTAATTT